TTAGCTCTGGATCTCTTCAGCCCCACCAGCGTTGTGGTGCGGTGCCTTGTCGGCCTGTGGGTTTGTTACGTTTGGCTTTTTGGTTGGGTGTTTTTTTTAGATTAAGGTACTTCCAAAGCACACGCAGGTGAAAATGGCACCTGCGGAGCGTGAAGAAGAAGGGGGTGCCAGGAGGCCCCGTTTCCTGGGCACTCGAGGTGACAGGCGGGTGTCCTGCTCCCACAGGAGGATGTATCAGAGGTGCCCTGTTACAAAACAACCAGCCCAGTGTCGTATCTAGTCACAGAAACAAGGTCTTAGGGAAATGTCAAAAATGAGATCTGAGCCAAAACCATGTCTTTTCGCTGATTGACAGATCTTTTGCTGAAGCTCCTTCTTGGCCTGTTAACAAATGATTTTTTTTAATACGGATTTTTCTGTTGTCTGAAAAAAATAAATACTAATACAGTAAGCATTCTTAAGAACTTCTTTCTTTGGCCAGAGTACACATCCACTGATTGCACACCTCGGTGGAAGTCACCAGACGTGTCACGTACCACACAGCAGAAAGGGTTGTCTGGGGGAGTTTGGCTGGGGGTTGCTTTTTGGAAAGCGGGGGAGGGAAGCTGAGTCAGACCACACCACCAGCCGGAATTCGGATTGGGAAAGTAGAGGTCCTTTGGCCAGAGAGCGCAGTAGAGGCATCCCGCCCTCCTAGACAGCAGAACGTCTAGAAGGCAGTGGTTTTATCCGTGTCCTGGGCACCAGTTTCCAGTCCCAGCTCTGGTTTTGTAACACTCAACGAGGAGACAGCGCAGCGCAGGGGCTGCTGCGTATGGCACGCGGGATTCTTGATACCCAGGGCATGTGGAGCAGTATCCCTGTAGTGCAGAGGTTCAGAACAGAGGGACTGCAGTTTCTGTTCCTAACAGTAAAGGCTACTATGTGATTCATTTGTTTTAGTAATTGCAAGTCAAACACTGCGAGGCCCACAGAAGAGCAAACAAATTATTGCCCATAAACCTGGGAGGCAAAGTCACCTTTCATCTGGGTATGACCAGTGAAGTTCTATTTAGTGTTGCTTCCTTCTCTGAAAGAAATGTCACTAGATAACCTTTAATCATCCCTTGTTTCAGTACCTAGCTACCAGCCTACAGCAAACTGTAACAGCTCTCCCTCCCTCAACCCTGGAAGAAGCAGGGACAAGAGGAATGCTGTTTGCCAAGTAACTTGAGCAGCTGATAAAGACACATGGCTTCTGGTTGAGGAAAACGATATTCCGGGCCTTCGAACAAGGCCTGTAGTAGCACAGCAAGAGGCAGTTCCAAGGGGTGTAAAGCACTGAGGCGCTGGGGGCACACAGAAGTCGGCATCCCGCCATGCGACCTGGCCTCACGAAGAAGGGCTGGCCCAGCTGCACACGCAGGTGTTTCTTACAGGAGCGTGCAAGCAGAAGCATCACGGTACTGCCAGAGTCCGTGTTTGCTCTCAGCCGTGAAGATGGAACCTGTGTAAGCCAAAACCAACGCGGCAGCGTGATTTAGCTGTGGGAAAACTGCCTGTATGGTGTGAAACGCAGCTTCTGGGACATTGGATTCTTATGGAACGGTTACGCCAAGTCACAGTCCATCCCCTGAAGGGCACGTCAAACGCTGCTGACTTTGCACTTTAATCTGGTAGGGGCTTGTTGGGATTTATTTGGAATTAGTTGTGTAACAGCCATAATCAAATTACTTCGTAATTTGAAAATAAGCAGTAAGTTGACTTGCTTAATTAGCCCTGTCCCACTTTAGTGTATGTGGAGCAAGGCACCATAGACTAGTTCCAGTCATTAACTAATGAGCTTTTGGTATGTTCCTTGTGCAAGACAATCCGCATTTCCACACTGGAGGTTGCTTTACAATTGCAAAAGCAGAGCTACATCCCATGGGAGTCTGTCCATCCCAGCCCGAATGCCTGCACCTGCCACCAACTGAAGTAAAGGAAGCTCTTCCTTTAAAAGCAGAAACTGACTGCCTCTGCTTTCACAGAGAAAGTGATGGGTGTGATTAACTGCCTACTGAGTCAGCCTTCACCTCCCAGCTCTGAAAGCACTTCTGAAGGTTTTCTCAAGCCCGACAAAAAGTGTCATTTGCTTGTGTTACAGAGACAGCAATTTTTAACACCAGTTTACAGCCTCCCCCTGGCCTCTGCTGCCCCAGCACTGTAATGGCAGCAGCGGCCGTTTCACTGGAGGGATGCGTACAGCTGCTTGCAGCCTTGGGATTTCACTTAGCTGGGGTAGGTTTGTTTAGGTTTGGTTTAAAATCAAACAATAGATTTATTGTTACTGCACAGTGCAGTTCTGTGAAGAACAGCCTCAAAGTTTTAGCAGATCTTTACTGTTCCTGTAAATCACAGAATCACAGAACAGTTTGGGTTGGAAGGGACCTTAAAGACCATCCAGTTCCAACCCCCCTGCCATGGGCAGGGACACCTTCCACTAGACCAGGTTGCTCCAAGCCTCATCCAGCCTGGCCTTGAAGACGGCAGGACATGGGAGCCAGATGCTCAAAGGTTGGGTTTCCCGTGCTCAAAGGTTGGTTTTCCCGTCAGTGGCAGCGGCAGACGGACGGCCTGCTTGTGCCACAGATCATCAGACAGACTCTCCTGCTCCTGGAGGCACAGAATTGGTGGGAAAGGCACAGGCGAGCTCCTCAAGCAGGAAAACCTCTCGTCCTCGCCACTGGAAGGACAAGATGAGCCAGAAAGGGTAGTGCTCCATCAAAGCAGCAGCAGGCACCACAGTCTGCCATGGGAAGAAATCTCTGGACATTTATGCATTTCACAGCAAGGTCCCTTCTGCCGAGGGAGTCTGGGAACACAGCACACCGGCCAGCCAAATGCCACGGCCAAGGAGCGAGCAGGCCCTGCAGCCGGTGCCTCCGAGTCTGCCTGCCTGCTCTTCAGAGCACCACAGCTTAGGGGATCGAAGACTCTCAGAGTCTGTTGCAGCTCAGTCGGCTCCCACGCTGCCTTTACTCCAAAGGGAGGACCGGAATTAGAAGGGAGTCAGTCCGTTTGCATCCTGAGAAGCGCTGTACGCAGGACATTCTCTGATCGGCCGTGAACGGGCTCTGAATTACACCAGCTGTACGTGGGACGACCTGTCTCGGTCCAATTGGTCTTGCAGGGTTTGCTCTCCTGGCTGAAGCGTTACGCGTGAGCAGTGGAAGAGCCCCGGCAGCGAGGCTGCCTCGCTTGGGTGTTCTGCGCTGAAGGTGACTCCGGTCGTCAGGTTTTCCGCTATTAGTCTTGTCTTTCAGTCTTGATAAACTTTATTAGGCAGATACCCAGTGTAGAAACAGATTCATCCCCAGACTTTCTGTCTTTTGATGAAAAGGACTCATCTCTTCCTCAAAGCTAGTTTGCTCTCAGAGATACTTTACAGTCAAAAAGCAAAGCTGACGAGCACGGAGTTGGAGGGAGGTGCTGAAGCGCCTTGTTTTTAAAGCAGAACTTGAACTGGGGTACCTGGAGGCGTTTGGTGCCTTTCCTCAGGCTGTACCCACCATCTGAATTACAGCAGCATTTGAACCTTTCCGTCGTGACATGTGATTAGGGTTGGCTTTCTTCCCAACACGCTGCGCCTGCCTTCCCGCAAGAGGCGTCCCCGCGCGCTGGGAAGGGTTCTGCACGGCAGCAGACGGTAACGCCTCTGCGTGAACCGCCTGCGGGAGAGGAGGGACTGGGATGGAGCGGGGAAACAGAAGCAGAGGGAGAGGCACGGGAGACGGAGTGTTGGGAGGTGTCAGAGGAAGGAGAACGAAGAACGGGAAGGCAGCCGAGAGGGGCAGGCTGCAGAGCTCTAGCAGCTGCCGTACGCTCCTCCGCTGACCCCACGGCTCCCTAAATTAAGCATTCCCTCCTGCGTCCTGAAACCCCAACCACAACGGGGCTCCCCGCCCGCACCAGCCGGTGTGGTTAGTAGCTGCTGCTGCCACATCATCAAATCACGCCGAGAAACTGTAGATGGGACCTGATCCTCTAAGAAAAAAAACACTGGAATTAAAAATACCTATTATCCCAAGGCATGGCAGCCACTCATTCCCCTTCCTTTTCGGGTGGGATACAGTCTTTTTGTAAGATTCCAAAACGCCTTTCCGGAGATCCGTTGTTCCATGCGCTCCACAAGGCAGGCTGCGCGCATTCTTGTGATGAACGGGGATGGCATAAGAAAGGAGACAAGCTCCTGCTTTGCTCCAGCTTTCCAGGCTGTAAACGAGACGGAAGAGGGAGGACAGTGTTATGGACCAGGCAGCGTGAAGCACCTGCTGGGCCATCCGAATTCTCACCCCATTTCTGCCAGCCGCCACGCGGGCAGGCTGCGGCGCTCAGCCCATCCGTGGTACCAGTGGCAGTGTTTGGGAAGCACTAATCCCAGCTGCAGTCGCGGCGGCGGGAGCTGCGCTGCCATCGCGTGGAGTGCTGTGTGGGAGCACGCCTTGTTTTCCTTACATCCCAGCTCAGGTTCGCAGCATTATCTGGTGATCTTTGTTTCAGTATCCGTACCTCAGAGCTCCGTAGGTAACCCAGACACGATATTCTCTATCTCTGTAGGTATCGGGAAGATTACAACATCAACAAATTCGAAAAGAGGTCCAAAGCCCTTAGACAAAGGTGACTGAGTTGGATCCCACCGTGCCCCCGAGGACGGTGGAAATAGCCAATACAGGGAGAGCGCCACAGGAAACCAAACCATCCCAACGCCAGCTCCCGTTTGCCCCAGGTGCCCGCCATGACCTCCCTGCGCGCCGTCTACACCAGCCTCTGCTCCGCCAACAGGCACCACTGCTCCGCCAGCACCTCAGTTACACCTCTGCCCCCAGAGCAGCGCCGCGCTCAGCTCGTCCGCCTCTGGGCCCACCCGGGATTTCCTTCTCCCGGCGGAGACAGTGCAGGTGCTGACATGCCCCCCCCTCAGCAGGCAGCCCGCGAGCAGTGTGTGCCCAGG